CCTAAACCTAACCCTAACCCTAACCCTAACCCTAACCCTAACCCTAACCCTAACCCTAACCCTAAACCTAACCCTAAACCTAACCCTAAACCTTACCTTACCTTAACTTAAATCGCGCTTCTGTTGGTGCGCTTTTGTCGGCGCGCTGTTGTCGGCGCGCTTCAGCGCTCATTCGTCGGCGCGGTTTTGTCACCGCGGTTTAGTCAGGCGCGCTTTTGTCGTTCGTGCATTTGTGGTGGAACCCATTAAGGGTAGGCTGAACTTCTTGCTTTGCTTGAGCTAGAAAGTATATAGATGCATTACAGGAACAATTGGGAAGTTTTGCTTTACCAAATGCCATCCTACAATTTCAAACGTACAACATACAAAATGTTGAAAAAAGCAACTGAGAAGCTTTCTATTTTGTGAAATACTTTTCCCCCTACTCTAAGGCAGAGAACAAGCCCTTTGTCCAACAGAGACTGAAGGCCCTTCCACAGAAGCTAGAAGAGGTGCTGGTGGTTGTGGGAGGCAGAGCTTTGGAAGAAAATGATGAAGATGAAGAGGAGCCACACTTCTCCAGAAATGTTGCTTTTTATAATACTAATACTAGTAAGTATTAGAAATCTTCCCTAATATACAGTGTCAGCACAGCTTTATTTCAAACCAGAACATTTTATAGATTGCTCTATCTCAGTGATGGCTAACCTTTTTGGTGCCGAGTGCCCAGCAAAACCTCAAAATGCAATGTGAGTGCCCCCGGTGCATACGCCCCCCCCGTGCATGTGCCCTGTCCCCCTCTGCAAGCGCACATGCACATCCCCATGCACCCCCTGGCCCATTTTTGGCTTCAAGGTTGGTGCAGGAGGCTTTCCAGGCCCAAAACTGGGTGCGGGGGATGTGTGCCATGCACAGGAACCCGCAAAATGCAATGCGAGCACACCCAGCATATGCACGCCACTCCCTGCACATGCGGGGCAGAGACCCGAAGACCAAATGACCAGCGGGACCAAATGTGTGGTGGAGCTGGGCTGGGGCAACGGCTGGAGTGCCCACAGAGAGGGCTCTGCATAACAACTGTGGAATGCGTGCCATAGGTTCACCATCACGGCTCTAGCTTATGCTACTGAGCACTGCAATATTTATTTATTTATTGAATCTATATGCTATCCATCTCACTACCAAGCAATCCTGGGTGGGATGTTCGTGACACAAATCTGAAAAGGCAGGATATATAGACATCATGTTTATGCTATACTATGGCTGGAATATCTTTCCAGGGAGGAAGTGGAGATGGGAACATTCAGAAACTTTACAATTATATTGGGATCTGCCTATTGCTCTGTTGAATACATTCCACATGTTTTTGTGCTCGCAGTTCTTTGTTTTCTTTTCCTTTGTGGAATTTCATTGAAATTAGCAGCAAAACCTCTCAACACCTATAAAGCAAGGTTATGTTTGTTAACTATTATTTATATATGTTGATTGCCCATTTATAAGACCTTTCTTTATCTTCTGCCGCATTCAGTAAGTTAAAGGAGCGGTGGGAAAATAAGTCTATAACTACAAAGCAATAATCAAAGAGCACTTATCCAGGCCTACTTTCAATAACTTTTTGAGTAGTTCGGAGAACTGGCAAATACCACCTCTGACTGGCTCCACCCCCATCTATTTGCTGCCCCCCGAGTCCCAGCTGATTGGCTGGGTCTTCTTTTGTTGCCCTGCACAGAACGGAGCTGGAAAGCAGGAAACAATCATGTTATTGGGTTTAATGTAGAATTACTGGCGTTGCCACAGACAACTTAGATTTCCAGATGATGTAATGTTCTGGGTTTTCTTGGGCTGTTTGTTATTGTGAAGCAACTGCATTCCTCCCAGGCTCACATTGACAATGAAACCTGTCAGACTAGCCTACACATTCACTGAAGTTGGAAGAGGAACTAATTTAGAGGTTAGGACTCTAAATTCTGGATCCTTGGTGTAATCTGGAAAAGATGATGTAATTTTAGGGCAATGTTGACAATATTGAGAACATAGAAACAAATAATATCCATACATAATTATTGCAAAAACATATCTGGGTGTTATATGTAACAGTTCTAATAAATGCTAAATTTTTAGTCTTAGAGAAATCTTTGGCTAGTCCTTTCCATGAAGGGACCAAGCATTGAGTCTGTCTACACAATTGTCAGTAAATACTGATTGAATGTAATACTGCAATGTGATTGGGATTGTCAGATGGTGATGGTTATTATACACACACAAATTAATTATTATTAGTAATAGCAATGTTCCTCTCAAAAGCCCCCCCCCCCCCTCTATCTATCTCTCTCTATATATATGACAAATCCACTGCAAACTCAGAGACTAAGTATCCCATGTTTCATGTATTGCCAATTTATCTCTTTATGTACAACTTTACAAAAATGGAACCCATTCTTTGCTTCCTCCTTGGATAAACTTATTATTTATTCCCAATAATCTCTTCCTTGGAGTTGTTCAGGCTATTGTTCCTCTCTGAGCTTTCTTTTTTTTTCATAGACCCGATTTCTGAACTTTATCCAAAATAACAGTCATAATCAGATATTTTTAAGGTTCATGTTCATCTATATTCAGCAGAAATTCTCAATCTTATATTACCTTACCTTACCTTGTATTTTATCCTCTGTTCCTTATTATAATCCTGCTTTATTTCTATGTTAATATAATGCTGACCAGTTAAAGATACGTTACTCGTTATGACAACACATTACCTTTAACTTTATAGAGGTTTTCTGTTTGAATATTTGCACAGTGGCATGTTCCTGTCCTGAAATTCATCATGAAAACCCATTTTTCTTGGTGTTGTCTTTGCTTACTCTTAAATTGTTATTATATTGACATTTGTACTTATATTTAAAGTTCATGGGAAATTGGTGCTGTCTTCTGCTCTATCAATTTCTATTTTAGAAACATGGATTGCTTTGCCTGATTTTCCAGATTACAATAAATGGGGCTTTTCTATGATTGCTCTAAACAACAACATTTACATTACAGGTAAGCATAGCAAACTTTTCTGGCTTTCTGTCTCCTACCAAATCTCTAAAACATTTTATCTTTCCCCATAAGACCTATTCTGCTTACCTGACCAATAACAGAGAAAATACTGTAATTAGATAACACATAGATCACTTAGTCAGGCAGTAAAAGGCAAATGCAATAATATTCCATTATTTTATCAGATGCATTTTACCTAAAAGTCTGCAAATTGTAGAAGGCTTGCAGAAGATTCAAAAGCAAAAGGAGTGACTAAATGTCAACTCTGAAAACAATAACAGATTACTTTCACAATGATTATTTTTGCTTTAGGTGGCTCCAGAGGATCACAGAATGACACATGGTCTACAACACAGTCCTGGTGCTTCTGCCTTAAGAAGGCTGCCTGGAAGTCCATTGCTCCAATGCTGAAGCCCCGAACAAATCATGCCAGTGCTGTTCTCAACGGAGAGATCTATGCTATTGGTGGTAGGAAATGAGATATGTAATGAAAAAAAATCCTCATTATGCAGAAACCTTCCAGTCTAACTGATGGCTAGGCTTAAGTGATCAGTAGATTCACTTCTCTGGAGGACAGATGGTTGGAGAAAGTTACTCTACAGCAGGGGTGGGTTCCTGCCAGCTCTAACCTCTTCTATAGAAGAGGTTTCACAAATCTTCAGTGCTGTTTAGAACCGGTTCCAGCTCCCTCCCCCCACCCGTCCTCACACCATCAAGATGAAGAGTGAGAGGAGGAATTCTGGGAGTTGAAGTCCACAAGTATTAAAGCTGTCAAGTTTGAACACCCCTGGGGTTTNGAGAGGTCTTTGGGCAGCGCTGGCTCTTGGGCTTTGAAACGGAGATGAGCACCGTCCCCTAGAGTCGGGAACGACTAGCACGTATGTCCGAGGGGAACCTTTATCTTTAGAGAAAGAACTGAGCAGAGACACTGCAGAGGATGGTTGGTAGGACATCCTTTTTTGGATCTGTCTTGTTGTCCAGGCCTCGCCCCTTTGGAGTAGGTGGCTTCCACTGACTTCTCCTGCAACTTTTTCCTGCCGAAAATGTTTCCTACAAAACGCGCTGGGCTTGCGTCTTTAAGATGGGCTCATTTCCCCGAGACATCGAGCAACTCAGCCCCAGCCCCAAGTGGCTTTGAGTGTTGAGTCTCGCTTCACTAGGAGGCCCAAGCTGCTCCTTCTTTTGTCCTCCTTCCTCTTTCCACACCACTTCCCCGAACCTGAAAAGGACTTGTGGGAAATTAAACATATTAACAGAGTTAGAAGGCACCTTGTAGGCCATCTAGTCCAACCTCCCTCAAGCAGGAAACCCTACACCATTTCTGACAGAGGGCAGTCCAGTCTCTTTTTGAAAGCCTCCAGTGATGAAGCTGCCACAACTTCTGGAGGGAGGGTTGGTTGATCTCACTGTCAGGAAATCCCTCCTTATTTCCAGGTGGAATCTCTCCTTGATCAGTTTCCATCCATTATTCCTCGTCTGGCCTTCGGGTGCCTTGGAGAATAGCATGACCCCCCCCTCCTCTCTGTGGTAGCCCCTCAAATATTTTTGATTTTACCGAGAAAAGAAGAACCCACTGGAGATCAAAGGATGGAGCAGAACCCAATACTCAATAGGGTTTAGGATAAGTGTTGGTGCATTTTGTGCGATCGTGGTCTTCCCTGGTTCTTCTCTTCCCTAAATTCATCTCCACTTATCCTAAAACCCTACTGAGCGTTGGCTTCCACTCCATCCCTCGATCTCCAGCTGGTTCTTCTTTCTAAAACCGGTACCCTAAAACTGCAGAAAGTTTTCTGCTCTGTTCTCTCCTCCCTCTCTGTATGTGTGTGTCTCTCTCTTTATCTCTCTCTTTCTGTGTCTCTATCTCTCTTTTCTCTCTCTCTCTCTCTCTCTCTCTTTCTCTTGTCTATGTGTCTCTNCTTCACTCTAATGTGGCTAGTTCAGGACAGGGGGAAAAAAAGATGTGTAGCACGGCTGTTTCCACCACTTCTATCCAAATGTTTGTATAAAGGCATTTTTTTAAAAAAATAATAGAGATAAATTGGAACATTGGCTGCAGAAATATGTCTCTTTTAAGACGGTATAAAAAAAACAACAACATCCAAAATCCATGGCAGATTTTTTTAAAAAAAAGCTGGATTGCATCTAAATTTCAAAAAGAATAACTGGAAAAAATTAAAAAAAAAATAACAATGAAGAACTGAATCTGGGTTTAATCCAGCACTGAATTTTTCCTGGTTCCAAAACTGACCATACAAGAGACACTAGACATAAAATTAAATGCAAGATATCATTTGGACGCATTAGAATGATCAGCATGGAGAAGATCTAAAAAAAAAACCCCTGAGGACATTGGTCTTAATACCAAGTGCAGAAACAGAATTGGACAACTTGTCATCACCATCTCACTGTCACCAACCTAGTAGACCCATGCAGAACAGTAAATGCTATTGTTTTCCCGACAACTACTTAGGGTTGTAAAAGTTGGGTTGTAAAAAGCAAATAACAGAAAATTAAGCTTATTCGATTTATGGGTTACTGGGTGGGCATGGCCAACTCAACATCACTCATGTCAATGGGCGCGTCACCTTAGCTGTCGATGACAAAATGAGATTTTGGAATGCATTAAACCAGAAACATTACCGAAAGCTGTTTGCCAAACAAAGGCTGTTTTTATTTTAATCCTGCCATGCAATCAGATTCTTTAGAAAAATCCATCATGGTAGCATCTGAATTTTGAGCACATCACTATGAGGTTGCTGCAAAAGGCGTCACTGTGAAAAACAGTCATAAATCACTTTTTCCAATTCTGTTGAAGTTGAGAACTACCTGAATACACAGACACACACATACCAGTGGTGGGTTTCAAACATTTTTAGAACCTCTTCTGTGGGTGTGGCCTGCTTTGTGGGAGTGGCTTACCAGCCATGTGACCGGGTGGGAGTGGCTTGCCAGCCATGTGACCAGGTGGGAGTGGCTTGCCAGACATCTGACTGAGCGGGAATGGCTTGGCA